TTGGGCGGGGGGACGGGAGTTCACTCACTTACCCCTCGTCTTTAAGCGACCCAACAACAAAAGAGACCGAACAGCAAAAAAAAAACACGGGTTCCAATCCTGTCAACATGGCCAGCAATGAGCATATAAAGTGGCGTTGAAACAAGCCGCGATGAAAAATACCATAAAGTGCGTGCCTTAAAAAATCGTCGCCGCCCTACGCGCACAAGATTATATCATCATTCTTCCTCCTCCTCCTCCTACTCCTACTCAGTAGGCTTTCCAGGTTACGGCTTGGTCCCTAAACCCTGTACACGCCTCTAACCTGGCTGACAGGACTTGATACCCAAACCCTGGGCCTTTGACCAAAAACCTAACCCATTCAACACTACTTGGAGGGTCAGAGGGACTTAGTAAGTAGATTGATAACCCCTATAAGGCATGTAAAAACCCCAAATATCTCCATTATTAGCCTACTTTCCAAGTCCCCACGACCTTCCAAGTAGGCCCCATTCAACGCAAATTGGCCGCGGCCTCCAAAGCTTTCTGCACTATGGCTTCGCTTTGCGAATCCAGAGCGCTGGTGGCCTGGACAAGCAAAGTTTGTTTTGTGGTTGGGATTTCCGAGTTATCAGGGTTTGAGGCTTCGGGGGAGTTAGGATTTCAGGCTTAGGTATTTCCGGCAATGATAGAGAACTCACGGGAAAACATTAAATGGGCATTAGAACGGAAGCTGCGGGTTGCTAGGGATATGTACGGTGCTGAAATGGCTTTGAATTCAGGTATTACGGATTAGAGCTGTGTCAATGTGGAACCTGAACATGTCTCCGGGGCACGTAGGGTTCCTTGGCTTACACAACCTGCGTACAAGAAGTATGCGGCGAATACCACGTTTAGGTCTCACGTTCCAGCTCCGCATAAGAAATGTACAGCAAGCACCACGTTTATGAGTTTCGACGTTAGGTATCAGGTTCTGGGTTCTGCGAGGGATGAATTCTGGTGAGTGAATGCAAATGCGACTGGGCAAGATTGAGGGCTTTCGCGACAATATCTTCGAGCAGTTTCGTCTTTGTCTGTCTAAGCTCTGCATAGGATCGAGGATCTGGGGCTTTTGCAGCTGCCTTCACGTTTTACCCATACCCCCCATCTAAGGAGGTATTCTTTCCGCTGTCGGCTCGTCATCAGGATGCTTCTGCACGTTGAGTGGGTCTCAGATCGCATGTTGGGGAGTTTCCTGTGCACGAATCATAGAATTGTGGAAAGGCTACATTACCCCCATTACCCCTAACAGGCTCGCGACAGGTGCGGTGGTCGTTTAGCAGCAGTAGAAGCAGCAACAGCAGCAGCTCAGACAGTACTGGTCGTCCTGGTGCTAATTAATGCTGGCGCGAGTGGCAGCGGCAGCAACAGCAGAAGGAGAATCAGCGGCTGCGGGGGCTATTTCAGAATATGTTCCCTTATTCCCTACTATGACCCCAGTATATACCCCGTTACAATGTAGTAGTTTCCATTTTCTTTTCCACTATCCCGACATAACCCCAAGATGTAAGTTACCGCCCTCTTTATCAGACCCTTGGACAGAAGCAGGTGTTTCCAAGATTTCTTTGAGGAATCTTTCAATGACCGGTGTGCTCGCGTCAAACCCTGATTTCATGACCGCAGCGCAGGCTGCAAACCTCAAACTTTTCCTGAAGATGAGTGCCAGCCTGTGATGGAATCGTTTGACAACGCAGTCACTGAGTAGCCAGCGGAATAATAGTTACCAGTAAGCGATATACAAGGAGAAGTAGCAGCAACAGTAGTGGTAGCAGGAGCAGGAACAGAAGCAGCAGCGTCACTATGATGAACATGGAGGAGGTGCCTCATCCAGCAGCATCACAGGCGGGTTGCGCATCAAAGCTCTGCAAATGGCCACGCGCTGCTTCCTTACATCTGGGTCGTACAGGGAATTGTTTTCCCTAGGAAAGCCCTGTTTAGTATACCCACCAATGTAGCAAAAAGGGAGCGCAACTGCAGTATGCGTTGACTACTTGCGGGATGAGGGAAGGGCCCAAAGTTTTCGCTTCCACACACGCCAGGATTCCATTCAAAGAATTCGGAGGGCTCCGTAAACAAATCCTGCAGCAACCTAAACCTTCAAATACTGATGAATATATATATATATAAATATATATGCAAACTCTTACCGTCCTTACTGCCTTACTGATCCCCACTTTCAACATGCCTTACTCCCCATAACCTAAGAACCCTAAATCATGCTGCACCCACAAGTCTGATCCCTAAGCGCTCAAAACATTGGGTTTCTTGATTCATGCTCCGGGATTGCCGTTTGTAGAGGTACTGTAAGGATCCATGTATACAAATAACATCTACATTGGGCTAATTGGATCCCGGGGGGTACTGCAAGAGATTACCGTTCAGGGTTCTCTTGCGCTATGAAACTCCTTCCCTCTTTAAAAAAAAACAAAAAGCTAACGGACCGAGTCGTGTAGAAGCCGATGCTGTAGGGTGCTAGTCTTAATCCAGTAGCCCTTGTAGACTTAAGTTTAAGCAGGCCATCGCCTGTCCTTCTTGAAAAACTTTTCTGCATACGTTCATTCCCTCACCAACTCTAAACCTTACATGCAAAACCTTAGACTTTACAACTCCAAAGCTTAATCCTTAGCACATAAAAGCCTAAAAGTTCTCCCAAAAGAAGCCCCTCCCCTAATATTAAACCACCCCGACCCCCCTAAAATTGCGGTATGTTGTAGTATATTGGGAGTATTTCATATCACGGGTGGGTTTCATATTAGTAGGGGGAGGGGATGAGGCCCGTAAACCCTAAAACCCTAAACCCTAAAGCCCTAAAACCCTAAACCCTAAAACCCTAAACCCTAGAACCCTAAACCCTGAAACCCTGAAACCCTAAAACCCTTACACCCTGAAACCCTAAAACCCTAAACCCTAAATCCTAAAACCATAAAACCTTGAAACCCAAAAGAGACGAGTAGCTGGCCTCCGGACAATCGGGATCCTCTTGGGCCAACCTCCGTGGCCAGCCCGCGATTTCCGGATTTGTACAGGAACCTGAGTACAACGGGTTTAGAGTTTAGGGGTTTAGGGTTTAGGGTTTGGGGTTTTAGAGTCTAGGGGTTTAGGGTTTTAGGGTTTAGGGGTTTTAGGGTTTAGGTTCAAGTTACTGGGGGTTCGTACGGAATGAGGGCATGTAGACATGTATATGTAATGCATCTGTAGAGTTTAGGGTTTAGGGTAGGGCATAAGGGAATATATTACATAGGGACTATATATTCCCTTATTTCATACCGACCTCTGGTCAGTGAAGCGGTTCTAGGGGGAAACATTACCAGGTGTTGAGGGTTTAGATATGGGGTATATAAGGGTTACATCTGGGGAATATATAGTTATTATACAGTGGAGTTACAAAAAGGTCAATGGCTCAGGCAGGGTACTTTTACAGGCCTAAACTCCAAACCCGTGGGGATTAGGATGTAGAGTTCAGCATCTGGGGGCTTAGGACCTTCTTTAGGAGGATGGAGGGTCTAGGGATCCAGGATTTATAGGGTTTATTAGGGTTTAAACCTTAAACCCTAAACTCCAGGGCTTCAATTTCAGGATTTCAGGCCCTTGGGTTCTGGGCTCTCCTGTGGTGCAAGCTTGCAGGGGCTTAGGCATTGATGCGAGCTTACAAAACGCGGTTTAGGGTTTAGGGTCCATGTAGTACTTGGGGCTAGCTTGATATGAATATTATATATACACACATACATATATGTAGGTTTGGGGTAAGTATATGATGATTGAGTACTTGGACCCTTAAGGTCCTAAAAAGAAACCAACTGCCTTCGACGCTAGCTCGTAAGCACACCAATTAACCCCACCCAGAGGATGAGCTGTAGACCTCTAGGATCGACAATAAGCAGGTTTCATATTGGGTTCGGCCCCCACCCACTAATAGTGGTATACGAGGAATATATAGAGAACCTGATGTACTTGTCATTATCTCTTCTGGTCACTATTAGTGGGTGGGGGCCCAATGGCAAAGACCATGGAAACTACTATAGTATTTTGGGTTTGGGGCTTAGGGGTTAGGGCAGATCTACATGCGTACATATTCAATATTCTTGTGTACGAGGTCATAGCACTGATACAATTACACGCAGATGAACGAGAGTATGGCAACATTGTCAGTTCTCACGCTTGGTAAACCAAGAAATCGGGCAAGCTCTCAAAAAACACTCTCAGTGGCTCCAAGGAAATCGTAGGATGAAGGAGAATATGATGCAACATTTCCTGTTCTCACGTCTGACGGAACTCCCTGAATCATAATGCAGGGATCGTGTCAATAAATACCCCAAACCCTGAACCAGCAAGTTACTGGGGATTAGTAGGGAAGAAGGGAATATACTCTATAAGGATTACCTTACTCCCTACTATACCCCCAGTATATACCCTACTATACTACACTACTTTCCATGTTCCTTTTCATTATCCCCAGTAAGTAAACCAACAAGAAGCTTGAGGTTACACATCTCCTCACACTTCTTGATGTACTCCTCAGTAACGGTCTCGCCCTCGCTGAGGCCGTACAAGATGTTGTTGCGCACGGTGGTGTTGAAGAGAACCTGAGGCAAGCAGGGATCTCGGATTTGACACCTTCTCTAAACAGGCTTCGTATCCTGCCGAAAAGGGCCCCTTACAATATTATAAGCCTTTCTTGCTTCTGTAGACCTGCAGGGTCTAATAACAAGAGGTAAGCATGTTTGAGAGAAAGCCATTGCTATTATGAGGGATCCAGATGCAACCACTCAGCTCTGCACAGTGGTTGTTTGAGCTCTGCCCAAGAAGGCTTGAAATTATGGGTTTGGGCGGCCCCGATGTTTTGTTGGCTGCAGCACGTTGGCTAGATAAGGTTTATAGCTCCAACCCCAAACCAAAACATCTTGTAAGCCACGCTTGTACCTCTCCCTAAGCCATGCATGGAGTCTTTTGCTGCTTTATTAGGAAAGATTGCTTGCAGAAACTATGCGGGCCGCTGCTTCACAAACAAGCGCGAAAACAAGCCCCAAAATGACCGGAAACAACAACCTGAACGTCTCGCAGACAGGTGCGTAGGCTCCAGACTCCACACGGCGTATAAACGCGTTTGGGATGTGTTTTCCAGCTCGGGTCAGCATGCGCGGCCGTCTTAAAATGGGATACATGCAAACATCGAGTATTCCAGAACAAAATCCATTATTCTGCAGCATTCCATCCAAACATGGTTTGGAACTCATTGCGTAGAGTAGTTATAGACTTCATTACAGCACATCCAGCATCCATTCTGAGATGGATGCTGCCTGTTTCGCAGCTTTTTCAATCACAATAACTTTCTGTCAGATCTTCACAATAGGCGTCGAGAGCAAAGCAAAGACCGCACCCACCTAAACCCTACCCCCCCCCCCGAATCGGCCCTCAGTTCCGGGACGCCTCCCTGCAAGTTTGAGACATCCACACTCCAGCCATGAGATTATGAGGCCTGCAAGCAAAGGTGGGAGGAGGAAAAATAATAAACTCTCAACCTTCCCCAGCCTAAACTCCCTACCTGAGGAGGTATAACCGGAATATAAGAGGACCCTAATAGAATCCATATTATCCCTATAGTCACATTACTGTTGGGGGTTCACCTACTCCCTACCCTATATACATCCTAGACTCCGAATCCTAAAATCTGGACACTAACCTATGAATTTCACCTTTCAAGCCATGGCAAAGGGACAGGCTCCTGTCCCACAAAGCCGATCTGGCGACGCCACCAGCGGATGTTCAGGTCGCTCAAAGGCTTTCTTTCCTGGTCGCTTGGGCGAGGGTTAAGGGACTATAGTCCCCTTTGAGTAGATTACGGCTTTGGGTATATTATCATAAGATCCCCATATACCCCATATTCTATCTGCATAAGGAGAACTATAGGTTGTAGGGTCTAGGGATTGGTTTATATGAGGACTGGAGCTCCAGGATTAAGCTCTAGGCTTCAAAGCTGGAGGCTCAGAAAAAAAGGGACAAAGTTTATGGCTGAGGGTAACGGGTAAGTCTTGCTGCGACACCCTAAACCCTAAGCCCGAAACAGTAGATTCTATTTTACCCCTAAATAACCCCTATACTCCCCCAGTATATACCCTATTAGAATATAGTAGTTTCCATCTGCATCTTCCCATATCCCTAGAAACCCCTTTATTATGTACCCCTATAGTACCAACGGAAGCATCGAGAGTTAAAAGCTGGTATGGGCCCCTGGTCCATTTTCAGGGGCCCATTGGGGTAACACAAGGGATACTACCCCAAAAATGGAAAATCAAATGGAAAATCAAATGGAAAATGACATGAACACGGTGATTATTACCCGTACTGTTAGGGCCATATTTGAGCATTTTCGACTTACCCACCCAGACTACGCATCAATATCTATGTTGCGATATGGGATTGCAATATGGAGTTGGGTGACATGATAACTGTGAGAAGATCCGCCTTCACTGCGACCCCTAGATGCCAAGTCCCTAAACCCTAAACCCTAAACCTAAACCCTAAACCCAAAACCCAAACCCTAAACCCAAACCCTAAACCTAAACCCTAAACCCTAAACCTAAACCTGAACCCAAACCCTAAACCT